CACCACCACAAAAAAGCACTGTAGGGCTGGCCCCCAAACTCTGCAGGATTGCAGGTGATGAGTGGGAGGCCCAGTACCTCCCATACCTGACCTATGACCCCCAACATCTTTCCTCTGTGGAACTGTGTTGTTAGGGTGGCATCAGGGAGCCCTATTAAAAGGGTTATGCCCACCACAGAGCTGGTGGGGGAATGATGTGTATACCTCTGACTGCCCACTCCCCACCTCCTCCTCCCCCAATGTGTGCATCCTGGAGAACCCTGGAGTACTTTCTGCAGGGTCCAGGGAAGTGCGGGAGATCATCCTCCGAAGATTGCTGAAACCCTTTTCCATTCCAGAAGGGTGTGATGTGAGCACTGACAGAGCGGGGGATATGATCTGGCTCTTCATTAATAATTTATAATTTCTGATCAACAGAATTATTTTACGTAGGGGAAAATCATGCCCCTGCTCCCCAAATACAGACTGCCTAAGACACAGTGGAAGTAGTTCAATACCAGCATGCAAGGGCCTGCACACCATGTGGTTTCCCCATGCCAAGAGAGTTGTTAGGACAGTTACAGGCAGTAGATCCTCTGCTACATAGATCCACTAGCCAATGGCCTCTGAGTGGAAGGTTCAGGGGCATACAAGCAGCAATGGCTATTGCAACTTTAGCACTGCAGTAATAGTGGCTATAAATTAGCTCCATTGCTACCCTGCACCCTAATGGAAAAAGATTCAGCCCTAGACAGTTCCCTTGCATCAACTTAGGTAGCTGAGCGTGGTGTTGGAAGGACAGGAGAAAGGAGTGTCAAATACACAAGAGAATACAGCAGCTATTAGTTTTCCAGTACAGTTTGAAAAGCACAAAGTCATTGTTTGCTAATAATGGTTAAGCTAAAATTCACCCAAATGGAAATTTTAAATAAAAGGCATGTATTGTCTTATACAGTATTGCAGGTTTCCTTTAGACAGCTATTCTGCCGATGCACTAGAATTCTGATCAGTAGAGATTATGTTAAGTATTAGTCAAATGTTTAAGAAAGAACTGAAAGTTCTTACCAATTTTCTTTGATGATTTAAAACCTAACATTCTAAAGAAAACCAAAATATAATACCCCCACTATAATATTTTTGACTAGATAAATGAACAATAAATGAAGCTGTGTTTGACTGAATGGTCTCTCATGTAGAAAAAAATCATAGCCTGGAAATACAATATTTAACTATGGAAACCAACACCATTTTTGTACTATAAAACAAGGAATATTTGAAACATTAGGAAAATGACTAGACATTAAGAAAAAGGATAGATTGTTGTCTAACACAGCTTGTTTTATATGGGCTGTAAAATAATTTGGCACTGGTCCTGCAAGTTACTCCGGGGGAAAATCTATGTAACACTGCACATGCAGAATTCATGTCCCCTCTAGATTTTTTTCTTCTTCACAGAATATAGATTCTGCTGGAGAGGCTCTGCAATTACACCTTTTGCCCACCAAGGGCTGCCTCGGCATCAGAAGAGAGGGCAGCCAGCTGGCAGAGGGGGTGGGGGAAGAGACTGCATTCCTCACAGTAGGGGAAGGTGAGGAGCCATGGCACGGACAGAGCGGAGCACATGGAGCTGTTGGGTGAGGGTCACAGACTGGGGTTCAGAAAGGCTAGTGGGGGGACAGACTGCAGCACGGGCACAGGAGATAGTGAGGTAACAGCATTGAGCCAGGGTCTCAATGGGAGGGGGGACTGCAGGGACACATGCGGATAAGGGCTGCAGGGACACATGGGGACAAGGGGTAGGGGGCTGCAGGGACACATGGGGACAAGGGCAGACATGCCTCATTGAATGGGAGAGGCTAGGGGTCAACCAGGGTCTACATGGGGAGGCTCCCCAACTCTCAAACAATCCTTCCCCTGCCATCAAAAAAACCTGTTCCTTGCTTCTCCCACCCAACAACCATCCAGGCTCACTTCCAGGCTCCTTCCCTCTCCCTCAGCTCCTCCATTACCCCTAACTCCCACAATCCTTTGCACTGCTTCTGAGGGGTGCAGGAAATACATTTCTGTATTGTAGTTTAAATGAATTACTCAACGTTCTGTATTAATATGCCTAGTAGGGAATCTATTTGTCAAAAAAATCATTTCCTGAATCTTTTTGTTTTGTCTATATTGTTATAGACATACTTGCTGACAGATATTTTGAAATAAATTACCAAAATTATTGAAACTGACATGATTATATTGT